GCCCACCCGCCGCGCCGTCATACCAGCGGCAGCCGGCCGACCGACGAGTGTCCCAAACCGGTGAAGCCATGGCGGTGCTGCATACCGACAGCGACAAAAGCCGCACAACGCCTAGCAATGCAGTCCAAAAGGAGTGCATTAGGTCCTTGGTAGGCGATAGTTTCTACGCATGAGTCGGCCGGTACCGAATAAGGAAACTAGAACGCGTTCCATTAGTCAAACCGGGCTTTCCTTAAACGGAATTTGTCTCGGCTGCCGAAAAAAGCGGCGCAGAAATCGAAACTATCAGATCGATAATGAACACCTTCGTGTCCAACACTAATTTACCACACAATGTGACAGCTGGCGGCGATCTGTTACCGATAGCGCTTCCCACACAGAGCAGACCAGCACTGGAGCTAGTGTCCCAGCGCCCGAGCGACTGCGGCGGACCAGGAGAGCGCCACCAGGCCACCGTGGCCGGCTGAACACGGCTCGAGGCTTGCAGTTCGACTGCGACCGCAAGTCCAAGGGACGGAGGCCTCCCAGCATCGGAACAGACCCCTCGGGCCCCTCCGAGAGCCGGGCAGACGCGCAGCAGGCCCGAACGGACCGGCGGCAAACTGACCTTGTGACGGCGGTGCCGACAGCACCAGAGGCAGGTGGCCACCACCACGGCCACCGCGGCCGAGCACACGCCGAACACTAGCATCGCGGCGTCCGAGACACGCGCGGTCACAGCAGACACTAGCACCCGAGCACAGCCGACACCGACGCACGAACACAGCCGAAACCGACGCACGAACACAGCCGAAACCGACGCACGAACACGGCGGAAACCGACGCACAAACACAGCCGACGCACGAACACAGCGAGTGTCCCGGAGGTGTCCTAACTCTGCCGCCGAGCACGGTGCACGCCGGCGGTACCCGTCCAGTTGGGCGGTGTCTCTGGGGCGCGAGCCGGGCCGCTCGGGGCCGAAGCTGACGCGCCCCGGACGCCTGGTCCGCGCGTGACGTCAGCGGTGACTCGGGTCTCGCGCGCCGGCCGCTGTCGGCCACTGACCACCGGCGCCGGCTGGAGCGCGGCGCGGCCTCTCACCGTGGGCGGATCGTGACCGGCACACGGCAGACCGGTCCGGCGAGACTGGCTGGCTGCCGCCGACTGCAGCCACGCGGCCGAGCCCGCTCAGCTGACGGCGCGCCGTCAGGCGGTCTGACGTCACCGCCGTCAGGCAGGTCTGACGTCACCGCCGGCGGGCAGGTCCGGGGCACGGCCCGAGCTCCCGACCGGCGCCGGGCTCCGCTCACGGCCGGGGTGCGGCCGAGCCCGCTCAGGTTCGAGGCACGACGTGACGCCGCCACCTGGACGGGGGCACGGCGCAGCGCGGGCCACGCCGGCCGGCCCGATCAGCTGACACACGGGTCGCGCCCGCCGCGCCGCCCCTGCAGCGCCGCAGAGGGCCGCTGCAGCGCGCCGCTGCACAACAGAGGTGTGGGGGCCCGCACAGGGGAGGTGAGCCCGTGCACCGGCCGCCACACAAGCTGACGCCCTGTGGGCGCCAACTGGGGGCGACAGCGACGCGGCACGAGCAGCGCGGCCACACGCCGCGGGCAGCAGCGGGCGGTCACGACAGCCGAGCTCAGCCGAGCAGGCGCCGATCGTGTGTCACGAGGCCGGAGATACCAACAGGCCAGCACAACACAGCGGAAGGACGTAAGTGTGGCGGCGAGCGGCGGAGACTTCGACGAAGAACCAGAGAGTAACACTGGTCTCGATCTGGGTGGATCGTAAGCAAAGTGCCCGATTGCAGTAAAAACCAGCCTGCGCCAATTATCGACACACGCCTCTCCCGCGCGTTTGCGTCGCCCTCTCCCACGTCACTTGTCATCTTGAATCAAGCGAAATTGATTGCAGCGCGCGGGCTCCAACCCGGCGCCGTGGCCAGCAGAGCGATGCGTGACCAAGCGCAGGGCCGACACCCTGCAGACCGCAGGTCGGGCGCTATCGCGCACCTGTGCGACGGACGCCGCTATTGACCCGACGCGCTAACGTCACACATGCCGTCCGAAGACCTCAAGCCGAATGTTTACAGCGCATGCCATGCGCCCGGCCGCCGCAGCCGAGCGGTTCGCGGAAGTAACCGAACAGCACTCAACAGAGCCATCAAGCCGCGCCGAATGGCCGGCGCCATGGACGCCGGCGACAGCTGACGTCAACGGAGCCCGGCCGAAAGTGAAAAGTCGCCCCTCGCTCGCGGAATACGGGTGACGCACCCGAATCGGCGCCGATCATATCCCGGGCCTGTCACACCGACAGCGCCCGCCGGGATTACCTCGGCTTCGCATGTTTAAGAAGCGGGCTGCCTATCAAGCGAAATCACAGCCGAGGACACACAAGTCGATGGCCGACGCGCCAATAAAGCCGGGATCTGCTCACAAATCGGCCGGGTGCGAACATGCCACCAGCATGTCGGCGACACATGTCGGTGATACACATCGGACACGTCGGCGATGTATGCCTGCGATAAATGTCGGATATGTCGACGATGCATGTCTGGAATGTCGGTGATGCATGTCAGATATGTCTGATATGTCGGCGGCACATGTCGGACATGTCGGTAATACCTACTTGGCACGTCGGTGATACATGTTGGACATGTCGGTAACACCTGTTCGACATGTCGGTGATCAATGTCGGACATGTCGGTGATACATGTCGGACATGTCGGCGATACATGTCGGACGTGTCTGCGATACGTGCGCCATCAGCAGATGCCCATCAGACGCGGCCGGCCGTGTCTGATAGGGCGAGCGGCCACAGGAGCGGGCGCCGCACCTGGCCGGGCCGGGGGAGCTCCTCCAGCTGCACCCGCTGTCGGCCTCAGCTGTGTTTCGGATGGGACGCTGCCGCTGCAACAGGGACGCCCGCCGCCCCGGCATAGTCCCAGTCCCGAGAAGACCCTGCTGTGAAGCTGCGCCGTCGAGCCGGGACGGAGAGTCACTGACCGGCGCCGAGCTATTACTCGGTCCTCACGCGACCGGCAGGCAAAAACACGCTGACCGCCTCGCGAAACGGCCATCACTCGGCCGCCGTGATGATTGATATTGATCTGAGCGGCGCCCGGCACCTGCACGCCGTCGGGCTGCGGGACGCTCGCCCGGCGTCGGGCCCGTCGGAGACGCCAGCCGTTCGCCCCGGTCCGGTTCGGTCCAGCTGCATCGATCGGCAGGCCGGAAGTAATGGGCGTCCGGCAGCGCGCCTGGATCAAAGGGGCCGCACCGGCAATTACGGGCCGCTGGCGGCACGCGCCTGGCGACCCACGCGCACAACAGCGTCGACGGTATCGACCGGCCGGACAGGCCCGCTCGCCGAGGCGCGTCGGTCACACGAGCTGAGAAGAACGGCGCCAATACCGCCCAGCGGCGCGCGCTCGATCAGTTACCCGCGCGGCCGGCCATTACAAACGACAGATCGCCGGCGGTGACGCGGCACGCCGTGACGTTTTTTAACGACACGGCGATCCAGCGGGCCGGGCGAGTCTGTGATCCCAGCGGGCGGTCCGGACCGGAGCCCGCCCATGGTCAGGCGGAACGACGCCGGCCCAGTTTTTTGCCGGTCGCTTCACGCCTCGCAGTGGCCGGGCGACAGGACGGTTACGCAAGTCCCACGCTGAAGATGAGCGTATTATCCGGTTTTTTTTTGTGCGCGGCTCGTAGGCGGCATTTACGGTGAACCGGTCGGTTCCGCGAGAAAAAATGCCGCGGCGGCTTCACAAAAGGTAATCCCGGCGGCATCGGAGTGCGGCACGCTCTCCGGTCGGCGCGGACGGCGCCGCGACAAAAACCGAGCCCCCATCTGCACGTGGCCGGCCGGGGAGCGGACAGCCACCGGCCGGGACTGACCGTGTCACAGGGCATGTACGGCACGGCCCTGCGGTCACCACGCCGGCACGCCCCAGCCGCCCCGAGCGGCGCCCACACCGACTTCAGCCCGGACCGGGCCGGCGCGAGCGCGGCTCAAGCAGAGCCGGTGTCGGACCGACCTAAGCGGACGCCGCGTGTAGCCGTCAGCCGAGCTCTGGCAGCCCTTGGAGCTCCACGCGGCACAAGACCGCTTCGGAGGCCGGCAGGCAGAGCACCAGGGCTCGGGGACACCCGGCAGCCAGAGCACCAGAGCTCCGCCAGACCACAGTTCCGCGAGGCCAGAACTCCGCCCAGCCCTGACCGACGGCCGAGGGCGAGAATCGCGAGCGAATCGCCGCCGCGGCAATCACCTCCGCCGTCACGATCGCCACGACCGTGAGACGCGGCCACTGCTCAGTGAAGACCACAACGACAGTGGCCGCCCACTGAACCCAAACCCAGGCGGGCGGCCGGCCGCCCCGGGCCACACCGGAAGTGGCCCACTTCCGGTGGCTGTTGCAGGCGTGTGACCGGCTGGCCGGTGGTTTTGCACACAATTATTGGCGGCCTGCGGTCGGCGCGGCCCGGCGCAGACGTGACGGCGACGCCGACACCGGCAGGCCGCGGCCGAGACGGAGGGGAGTGGAGACGGCGGGAGGAGCTGACGGGACTGGGCGGGCCGTGTCGGGACCACAGCCAGCCGATGGGAGACCTGATGGGAGACCTGAGCCAGCGGCGCAGCGGCGCCCGACCTGACGTGACCGGCAGCACCGAGAAGTCAGTCACCTGTGCAGCGGCATGTCGCAGCGGTCGCTGCTCAGCCGCAAACCTCCGTCTGTGCAGTGACCCCGATCCCCCAACTGTGCACGGTGTGCAGCGGGCGTGCCATGGAGGCAGGCGGCGCGCGTGGGCGGCGCGAGCCACCGCCGCCGCCGAGACGGCAACAGGGCTCCTCGCCCCCAGTGCAGTACAAGACGGAGTTGGTTCCGGACCGGCCGCGCTCGCTGCCGGTCCCCTCAGAGGCCGCTCCAGCGGCGGCGAGTACGTCCCTCCGACGGATCATCCCTCCCCGCCGACGGGTCGCGGACGGGCCGCGTCGGGCCAATCAGACCTACCTTCATGATGTCCCGGTCGTCGTACGTCAGGTCCGGTCTGAACGAGGTGTCGCGAGAGGGCCCCAGCTCCTCGCGCAGACTGTCGAAACCTGCAACACAGCGGCGCAGAGCGGGCGTCAGGCTCCGAGCGGTTAAAACACACAGCAGCCGACGCACGGGGCAAGGACGAGCACGACGCGGGAGGGGCGGGACGGCGGCCGCAAACAACGGCTCGGCGCCGCTGTCCCGCTGTCCGCTGGGACGGGCTACGCAATCACCGGCCGAGCAGCGGCTGGCACGGCGGCACGAAAAAAACGGCCGGTGGAATGTGGAGGGAACCACTGCGGCAGGCGTCTCGACGGACGGGGCTGGCTGCGACCGGCACCGACAGATTGGGCTGGCTGGCACCTCGGACCGGGACCGAGAGCAGGTCGTTAAGACTACATCCCCCCCCCCCAAATCCCCCACCGCCATCAATCTGTCCTGACGTTGGGCTGAAAAGCCACTGCCCGCCGCTGCCATGCCCGTTACACATCACCACCGGCAGTGAGAGAGCGGGTGCAGCGAGCAGCGGGTACGAGCCACCCCCGCTACCCATTCAATGTAATCCCGAGACAGCCGAACGTCCTGCCAAGGAAGGCAGGCAGTACAACACGACGATCGATGTAGTTCGCCACGGCCCTTTAACATCCAATTGATTCTCAAATGAATCTTGTGACATGCCATGTCGTATCAAGTTGCGTCATCTGGCCCCGATGCGTGATGCGTGCAAAAACGCCCGCGGCGAGCGGCGAGCGTCGGCACGCCGGCGGTGCGCGGCGGCGTCCCTGGAGGCCGTTCGACATGCGCCGCCGTCAGAGCCGGGCCAGCGGCCGGCGCCGGCCACCCAGGCGGCGGCCGCTGGCCCGGCGACGTCTGACGCCGGCTGCCGCCCGGCTGTCGGCGGGCCGGCCCGACCTGGAGCAGCGGCGCACTCGGGGCCCGCACTCGCAGAGACAGAGACACGGCCGGCGCGCCCGTCCCGGCAGCAGCGGTAGGGCGGAGAGCGCCGCTGGCACTGGGGCAAGAGCGCCGCCCACTGGGGCATCGGAGCACCGCCGTCGACAGAGCCGCCGCCGCCCTGAGGCCGGCGCCGACCGTTCCGTCCCGCGGAGGGGGGGGGGGGGGGCGACAGACGACGGGCCGGGCCGGGACGGCGGGCTCAGCCGCCTGCCGGCTGCTCAACGCCGGGCTCAGCGCGCTCGGCGCCCTGCGGGACCCAACAGTGTCCTGTCCCGCCTGTCGTCGGCCGGGGCGGCACCGAGCGACGCCGTGCGCGGCCCAATCTGGAGCCCGGCTCTGGGAGCGCCTGCCGGAGCCTGGGGCCGGGGCCGGACCGAAGCCCGGCGCGAGGCCGACACAGGGGCCGGTGTGGGAAAGGGAGCCGAGGGAGAGAGTGGCGAGGGAGAGAGTGGCGGCGTCGGGACGGCCCATTCGTCAGCCGCTACATCTGGGACGAGTGTACCAATGACCTCACGGGCGTGCCGAACCATTGGTGTTCACAGATTACCGACTCGCACAGGCATTCGTTATTTATGACCGCCGTCCGCCCGCCGGACCGGCAGACCGGCGGCCGCCCGCCAAACGCAGCCGAAAAACCCGCCTCGGTGGCAGCCGGAGTGCCGGCAGCAGGGCCCATGACAGAGGGCCACCGGTCACCGACAGGCAGCGCCTCTCACAACACAACGGATGACCGCACACGCCACCGCCGCACTAACTGGCAGGTGATTGAGGCCCCCACTTCGTCGCCCAGCGGCGCGCGCGTGGGCGCAGTTAGCGGCTGCCGTCGGCATCACTAATAGCCGTCTCGGCCCGGGCCGCGCACGTAACTCAGCCGGCCGCCTCCTCCTCCTCCGCCAGCCGCGCCCGGCCGGCGGGTGGGCGTCGGGCGGCCCTGACACCGGCACTGTCGGCGGCGGCGCGGCGGCGGGGCGACGCCTCCTCGCCGAGCTCGACAACGCCAAGAGCGCGGGTGACCAGCGGCGGTCGGCGGACCGTCCGATCGCTGCGACCACCGCCGCTGCGGGGCCGCTGGTCGGCCTCTCAGCGACGGGTCGTCGCGAGGAGCTAGTCCCTCGCGTTCCCGGCGCCCGAACCGGCCCGGGTCCGGGTCCGTCAGAGAGACGCCCGCCCCGGTTTTTGTCTCGCCGCAAGGCGCCGACGGCCGTCTCTACTATGATGAATACTCGCCGGTTTTTAGGCGCGTGCGTCTATCTCGGTGCAGTCCGACGCCGCGCCGCAAAAACGGCGCGGCGCCTCCGTGCCGACCCTTGCCCGAGCCGGGCGAAGGGGAGAGAGCGACGGAGACGGGTCTGCGGAACATCAGATGACGTGGTCATCAGCGGCGATCAATCGCGCCGGCGAATTCATCGCCGAGGAATGTCGGATGATGTCAGCGGTGGCCGTACCAGACCTGTTGCTGCGGTGGCAGCGGCCGGCCTCCTCTCACGGTTTACGCTGGCCGGCGGGCGCTGAGAGCCGACCAGTCAGTGAACTCCCCCCCCCCCCCCTCCAAGTGACCGGGCTGCCCTACGTGATACTCTGATCCCCCTCCCCCCACCATCGTGAGGGGGAACATCAGATGGCCTCCGTCTGCCGGCCTCACCGGCCCTGCGAGTATCACAGTCTCCGTGGTTTCACGGCCGCGACGTGGTCTTCAAGCGGACCCCCGTAGTTCTCATCGCCGCCGTCCGCCGGCCGCGGCCTGATCCTCGTACGAGGATCAGGATCGTACGACCTGATCCTCGATCCTCGTACGATCCTGCCGGAGGTCCTGCCGGGGGTCCTGTCGGAGGTCCGCGCGGTGCGCCCGGCGCCGTGGGCCGACACGGACGGCCGGCGGCAGTAGGCCGCGCGGCGAATTACCCGGCCCCGGATTACACACGGCTTTCACGCTGAGGCAACAGCCGCCGCCGGCGCGGCGCGGAGATTCTCATGGACGGCGCGTCGGCCGAGCCAGCAGGCCGCACGCGGCCCGAGCGCCGCTCCAGTCCGGTCACGTGCGCCGCGCGCCGAGCGGCGCCGGCCACCGGCACACGCGCCAGCCGGCTCCGGATCGGTCGGCCCTCGCTCCGGCCGGTGGGCCCGAGCGGCCGGTCCGGCGGCGCCGCCTGCGGCCCGGTCGGCCCGCTCTGCCCGCCTCGCTGACCCCCGGCCCCTCTGCCCGCCCCGCTGACCCCGGCCCCTCTGCCCGCCCTGCTGACCCCCAGCCCGAATCGGGGTCGGCGCGCCAGTCGAATTATTCAGACGGCCGCCCGACCAGCCGGCGCCATTGATTGGCGATGGTGGGAGCGGGCGGCGGTCAGGCGCGGCCCACCGGAGCGGCGACCGGCGCGTCCGGAGCCGGCGCGGCAGGCGCGCGCTCTGGCTCTCCGCTGCGGCGGCCCGCGCTCCGGAGCCGGCGCGGCAAGCGCGCGCTCTGGCGCTCCGCTGCGGCGGCCCACGCTCCGGAGTAGCTGCACCGCCTGCACGCGGAGCCCTCCCATCCGCACCATTGTCAGTCAATCCGCCTCTGATGAGCACCATTATCGCGGCTCTGGACGGAGAACGACGGCGTCACGCAGGCCTCGCCGTCATGGCCTCGTCGTCCTAGGGGTCGCGGATAAGCCGGTCAACACGGCGGGCTGCTGGTCACCGTCTCCAGCTTTTTGGCATTGTCGTGCTTCAAGGCGGTGACTTCGACGGCGCAGTGAAACGAAGCTAACTACGAGGCCGAACAATCCACACATCGAGCTATCGCCAGAATCTTCACAGGAGCTGCGTTTTGGCAGGAGGTTCGCGGCCCGGCCCCGCTGCCGTTGTTGTAGCCCTCGGAACCCCCATAAGCTTTGCTTTGCTAGTCATGCCTTTTACGGCTGACGCCCCAACCGAGCACGATAATAACAAATGCGCAGCTGCAGTATGGTGACCAAACAGCATATCAACAAAGGCACAATGACGAAAGGGACGTGATTCGCATTGCAAGGCGGGCATATCGTTGCTGCTGCAGGGGACAGAGTGCACTGCGCTGCGCAGGCTGGCTTCAATTCTGACGTTATAACGTTGGCGGCCTGCTTTTGAACCCACAGGCGTGGCACCACGATAGCGCCGGCGCTAAAACCCAGCCATCTCGTCGGCAAACAGCAACGGTCAGCCCACCGCGCCGGCACCCGCATGCCGGCGCTCGCTCACAGACCCAGGCGCTCGCTTCCTGGCACGTGCAACGCTCGCCTGTCTGGCACCTGATAGCACCCAGTTCTCGGGATGCAGACGGGCGGGGCAGGGTAGAGTCCTCAGCCCGCCGGTGAGCCATCAGCTGGCTACGTGAGAGCGCCAGACACCCACGCCCCTGCCCGTCCATGTCCTCGCGCCATCCAAAGACTCCCAACGTTTACAACACACTCTTGCCTTCGGCGTGAGAGCGGCTACAGGCTCACGCGGACAAAAGCGTTCGTTGGCTGGTTGTGTGTTCCCTCCCCCCCCCCCTCGCCCCTCCCGCGCGTGACTGGCACATCGTCCGGCGCGATTCATGCCGCGAACGGCGCCGCTGGTTGAAGCTGGCACATCTCCAGCCAGGCCGTGTCTTGTTGCCGCGCGACGAGCGCAGGCCAGGTCAGACCAGGGTCATGAGGGTCGCCGCCGTCACCATGGCGACAGTGTATCGATCGGCGAGTCCCGGGAGGGGGGGGGGGGGGAGGCGCTGGTCGGCGCTGCCGGGGCGACTGACAGGCACGCGCGCTTCACCGCGATGACACGCGGTCCCGCTGGACCGGCGGCGCCCACCCCAGGACAGGCCCAGCAGTCGCCGGCTCTGCGGTCTCCAGCACCGAGGGCGCCTCAAACCCCGGCTCAGACAATCGTAACGCCTGGCGGTGTCAACTGTTGCTGGGGCTATTCAGGCTTCTCAAGCTCCTGAGGCTGCTGAGGCTACTGAGGCTACTCAGGCTCCTGAGGCTAATGAGACTACTGAGGCTACTCAAGCCGTTCGGCTGTTTGGTTCCACCGCTAAAGCTGGTCAGCCACCCTCAGACGCACCCCAATCTCACCAACAGCCACCAGTTCATCACGCGCAGTCCTCTCCCCCCCCCCCCCTCCGCCCAACCCAGATTTTGACAGCACGCCAGCCGGCAGATGGAGCGGCGCCCCCGGACACCAGCTCTGGGCCGGGCCGGGCTCGGGCCGGCGCGCCTCCGCGCTGACTCAGCGCGGCGGATGGGCTCCAGCGGCGCTCCGGCCGGCTCGACCCCAAGGTCAGCTGGCGCACTGCTGACCTTGGCCGGGAGGCGCGCGCGGCGAGCAGCGGCGCGCCGCAGGCGGTGCGCGCAGATGACCGGGAGAGTGAAGCCCGCGGGCACGCGCCAGAACGGCCGTCACGTAAGCGTGAGCGCCGCAGGTGTTTTGGAAAGTGATGGAATTCAGCGACGGGAAATATGGTGGTTTAAGAAATAAAACTCTTGACGAAAGGCCGTTCGCAGTTGCACCAGATCCAGATGTGGCTGTAGGAACAGTCATATTCCTCGCCGAAAAACAGGAGACTGAAGAGATGGATGCATTGATATTTCGGAAACATGCCTTTATAGAAACGAGTGCCAGATCTTCAGACCGATACTCGCTATCATAGAGGCATGCTGCTGAAATTCCCTCCATTCTCCTGGTTTTCTACGAGGAATAAGGCCTTTATTACTGCCTTGTACATATGCATAATGCTCCTCACAAATACACTTGAAAACTTACAGATCCTGATGTTCAACGGTTCATTCTGAAAGTGTTAAAGTGTTAAGTGTTAACACCGCACAACTGAACCCTGGCTAAACGAGTCCCAAATAAGAAAGGAAATGTCTTCTCGAAGTAGTGACGTCACGGACCACGTGCCCCAGTCGACAGCCGCGCCTACAAACCGCCAATCAAACAGAACACCTGGGGTCCGGGCGGTGGTGTTCCCCTCTGTGGGGAGGGCCGCGGCGGCCAGAGCCGAGCTCAGCGCCGCCGCCGCCGGCCGGGCAGGTGTAGCGGCTCCCCTGCGCCGGCCGGGCAGGTGTAGCAGCTACCCTGCGCCGGCCGGGCAGGTGTAGCGGCTACCCTGCACCGGCCGGGCTGGTGTAGCGGCTACCCTGCGCCGGCCGGGCAGGTGTAGCGGCTACCCTGCACCGGCCGGGCAGGTGTAGCGGCTCCACTGCGCCGGCCGACCGCAGGAGGGCCGCGTCCTGACCCCGTTCGGCGGACGCTCCCCTCGCTGCCCGGCCGGCGCCGCCGAGGCAGCTGGCCGGGCGGCGCGGGACGCGGGTAATGGGCGCTCGTCAGAAGGTGGCCGGTCCGACCCACCGCCGCCCAACACAGGCCGGCAGGTGACGGCTCGGCGGCTCTCCAGGCCGGCCGAGAACTGACCTGGCCGTGCCACCGGCAGAGGCACTTGGGCCTAGCACCCGACTAACACATAACGCGGTTCATGGGCACGGCGGAGGCACAGGACATTGTGATTATCGGCGTGATGGAGGAGGTGGTCTGGGGTGTCGGGGCGCGTCGGCGTCGGGGCCATTTCGCGCCCAGCCGGCGTAAAGGCAGTCGGTCCGCTGCCGCGGTTCAGCCCGCCCGTCACGCCTGATTGCGCCGGGCCGGCCTGGCGGAGGGCCGAGCCACCGGCGCAGTCACCTGCCGAGGCGCACACACACCGGGGCAGGGCCGCTGTTTACAGGCCGGTCACGGGCCCACATGGAGACATCCGGGGGCAGAAGGGGCGCAGCGAAAAGCGCGGATCCCTCAATTTCGCGAGGCAGCACCACTTGTACCGAAACTAACAGACAATGCCGCGTCCCCTCGCGTGCTGGGCTCCCCACCTCCACCTCCATATCACACCGCGCCGGTCCGCGTGGGCTTCACCTGTGGCACCGCCCGCTCTTACGCCCGATCCCCACGCTCTGGGGTTAAGGGGAGGGGGCGCTGCAGGTGGGAACGCACGAGCTATTCCCCGAGCCAAACCAACTGTGAGCATCCAACCCTGTGACCGTTAGAGCACCCGCTGGCAGTGCCACCCCGAGCGAGCGCAGCGCTCAGAGCACATGACCTCGCGGTTATGTCCCTGGCCAGGTGACCCTGTGATCGAGTGGCCTGGTGGGAGCGTGACCCCAAGATCCTGAGAGCGAGTGAACCACTTTGTGAATATGTAACCCCATGATAGCCCTCGTGGGTTAGTTGCGACTCTTGACTGGAGGGTTTGAGACCGACTTGAAACTGTAACCCACGGCGTTTTCACGCCGAACGCGGTCACTGTTCTGCAATGAGCCGGTGACGTCATGATAATGATGACATCACTAGTGCTACCAGATCCAGGCAGCGGTGAACGTGCCAGCGGAACAGCGCCTGTTCGCCCGGCTCGCGGCCTGCCAGACGTAGCCCAAACTGGACGGGTGCCAGACTGGTCTGTCCGAGCCGAACCGGACCAGACTGGTCTGTCTGAGCCGAACTGGACCAGACTGGTCTGCCCGAACCGAACCGGACCAGTCTGGTCTGCCTGAACCGGCCGAACCCGACCAGACTGGTCTGTCTGAGCCGAACTGGACCAGATTGATCTGTCCAAACCGAAAGCAGACTGGGGTCGGTCGGCCCTCCGCCCAGCTAACCGGTACAATAACCCGGACCGTTGAAGAAGGATGAGTGTCGTCAAGCCGTTTTGCATCGCTGTCCATGTTGCCATGGTTGGGATGTCACAGTATTTTTTTTTCACTCCCCCTCCCGCCCATCCGGTGCCGGTGAGGGGTGACGCGGTTGGCGCATGCGCCGTGCGGCGCCGGCCGCCGGTGCGGAGCGTCTGCCACGCCCCTGCCGCCGGCCGGCCGCCGCCCCTCCGCCGTGGCAGACCTCGGAGCCGCTCTGTGGCAGTCCGGGGCAGCCGCCACGTGACCGCCGGGTCACACCCAGCGGACCGTCACGTGACCCCGACCGCCGCCGATGGTGGGACATGTCACCTGACCGAGCGCGTAGCTGCTGATCAGCACGGGTCACCCCTGATCCGATCCGGTCGGCGCCGGGCTAGGCACCCAGCGTCCTCCCACCGCCGACGCGACCCCGGTCCCAGCACCAGCTCTCGGGCTCCACCGGGAAGGGGAGTGCCGGCCGAACTTGTATGTGTTGGGAGTCGGCCGTCTCTAACTCCGTAACGCGCTCGGAGACAGCACGTCTGACAGATGCCTCAGGCCGGCGCGGGGCGACGCCGCCGGCTCGCAGCGCCAGGGGGCGCCGCTCCAGCGCCGGCGCACGCGGCGCCACCTCCAGCACTTACCTGACTGGTCGAGCCGTGCCTTGGCCATGGCCGCCTCCATGGCGTCCGTCACCATGACCGAGTCTGTGATGCAGGCCGTCACGATGTCGTCGCGCTGAATGGCCTGCAGGCCTCGCGCCAGCGTGTTGCCTGCGGGCCGGGGGCGCGTCCGCGTCAGCCGGCGGCCGCGCTCCTCGGGCCGAGGCGCCATCGCCGCCGCAAGAGTGTCCGGGGGTCGGAGGGCGGGCGGAGCCCGCGCTCACTCACACTCACACACACCAACAGTCACGGAGGGAGGGCAGCGGGTGTCCTGACACGCGTCCTCACACCGGCGCCACGCGCACCGCACACCACCACACAGGTCACCACACAGGTCACCGCACAGGTCAGCCCGCACGGGTCACCGCAGGGCCCGCGGGCCTCCGGTCCGAGCGAATCCGTCACCCGCCGCCGGCTCCCTCCGAACGGCTTTGTCCGATGGCAGATTTGTCGACCGACCCCGGCACTCTCAACTCTCCCGCACTCTGTCGCCCCAGCACCACCGCACCGTATCGACACAGCGCGCCGCGCTCCTGCCGCGAACCCGACGCTTTGCCCCTGGCGTCGGTTTCGCAGCGGACCGCGCAGCTCTGACCGGCCGTCGCTCGGCCGCGCTACTGGACGCCAGCGCCGCCAGCCGGCGCCGGCGCCGGCCTGTGACGTCACAGCCCCGCCCTCGGGCCGCGGTACACGCGGCCGGGCCGAGAGCGGCGCGGATGGCGGCGCCGGCGCCGGACGAGCCGGCCAGGGGGAGGGGCGAGAAGAGCTGACGGCTTGACGCCTGGAGCCGGACCGGATTTGACCGGATCGGACCGGATCGGATCGGATCGGATCGGGCCGGATCGGATCGGATCAAATCAGATCGGATCGGATCGGATCGATCTGACCGGACCGGACCGGAACGGACCGGATCGCATCAGATCCGATCGGATCGGATCGGATCGGATCGGATCGGGTCGAACCGGACCGGCCCGGACCGCCGCCCAGCGCTCCGATCGGAAGACGGGTTCCGTCAGGGGCGCCGTGAGTAGCCGTCGTAGAGACCCCGACACGGCGACGGCAGGGGACCGGCCCCGCATCGGCCTCCCTCGGTGGGCGCCTAGCGCCGCCCGTGCGACCCACCAGCAGCGGAGCTGGTACAGCGCCGCCGGCTGTGCTGGCAGCAACTTCGACAGCCGTCGGCGAAAAGCCAAGAGCGGCAACACAAGAGAACGCTGGGCACGGAACGACAACACCAGTGCGAGAGACGGCCAGAACAAGCCCCGCAGCATTCTCGCCAAATACACGTAATAGTCGCCACATGCATAACAGGGTGTAACGAATAAAGACGCATCACAACATTTATCGCGAAACACTCACAACCACATACACACAGCAGCAGACAATGGTTGGACGGCATAAACAAGTAAGATCAGCCCGCCTCCGAGCTGCCACTCAGCCGATCGCGTGCTGTTAGTACTCCAGCCGCTGTTGCAATCTGTTATCACCAGCTAACCAGGCCGGCGTCAGCGTATTGTCGACATTCCGCGGAGGAGGCGGCGCGAGGCGCCGCGCCTCCCGCCGAGACACACGTGTGGAGCGGGAGGCGGCGGCGGCGGCGGCGGCGGCGGCGGCGGCGGAACCCGGCCCGCGGCCGCGGACCCTCCGGTCGCGGACCCGGCCCGCAGCCATGGTCGGCCCTCGGCCCGCCGGCGAACACTGACTGTGGCATTAGCGCCAGCCCGTGCGCCATGCTTCCGAGCGGGGACGTCACGCTGCGTACAGTCGGGACCGGCGCCGGTTTGCACGCGTGGGGAACATGCCAGGCTTCGGCAAGATTTGGCTGACGACTTTAAGCCCCCCCCCCCCCCCAGGGCGGCATTTTCCGTCAGCGACAAAGCCCCGTCTGCGTCAGCCAAGGCGTGGCTCCATTGCCATTTGGCATCATTGGCATTGCCACTATTCCATTGGTACTGAGCTGGCACCAGGTGCGGGCACGGCGCCACCCGCGGTGAGCACCCCCGTGTCTCGGCCGCGGCTGAGTTGGCTGGGCGTCACGCCGTGTCCCGCGTGGCCGGCCGCCCGTCACCATCCGTCCTCCACGTCCGCCAACGGCGGGCTCGGGCCGCCATGACTCTGACCCCGAGGGCGCGGCGCCACCCCGACCCAAGGTCAGCCAACCGCCGCCGGGCCCGCTCCGGCCCCAGACCCGCAGACCCAACGAACCCAGGTCTGGCTGTCTGCGGGGGCGGCCAGAGAGCCCGCAAGTGCAGTCTAAATGACGCGCGATACAAAGAATGCACCATTCTCGCCCACGCCGCGGAATTCTTGCGGCATGCGGTAGGTGCGCTGCCGGCGCAACGTTAACCACATGATTGGGGAAAGCACGGGAACACTTTTAAGACACGCCAGCCGATAGGAGCCGATACATTAGCTCCAAGAACACGAAACATGCGTAATGCTTTACCCAGCCGACTGCCCTGTAATGCCGCCCGTTTTCAGCGGAGGCGCGGCCGCGTGCCGGGGCGGCCGCCGCGCCAGCAGGGCGCGCGGGAGCGGCTGCCGGCGCCGCTGCACCGGTCCCGCACCAGACGGCGCCGCGCCCGGCTGTCGGCCGGCGTCGCCCCCGCCTTCCTGCCGGCCCTCCCACGCGGCGGCCGGCCTGCAGGCCCCGACCGGCCGGCAACAGCCGGTGCTGTACCGCCGGCCGACCCGCGCGCCCGCCAGCTCCTCCTTAGCGGAAGCGGACGGCAGTGCGGCACCCCCCCTCCCACCTCTGGGGAGATCGAACGCTAACCCTTCGGCGTTGCACCAAAACAAACGAGGGCAAATCGCGCTTATCGCCCACCACTTCAGAGGATGGGCTGCCGTTGGTTCCGGTCCGCCGTGGTGCCGGCATCGCCTTTTACCAAAATTGATTTATATCGACCTATGCGCGGCCCATATAACGGGTAAGTCCACGACCGTGGCAGGCCAAACCGTCCCACTCCGACCGATGCCGGGGCTAGGCCTGATCTATATGGATCGGAATCATCAGTCAGTCTGAATAGAGCACAGTGCTGTGTGGAGGCGGAATCGGTCGACGCGAGCTGGGCTCAGCGCAGTCCAGCCGAGCCAGAGTCCAGCACCGATCCAGAGCAGAGTCCAGCACCGATCCAGAGCAGAGTCCAGCACCGATCCAGAGCGGAGTCCAGCACCGATCCAGAGCAGAGTCCAGCACCGATCCACACGCGGGGACCGAGGCCGCTGAGGCCGCTGAGGAGGAGAGGCTGAGGACAAGAGTGAGATGGAGAGAGAGAGAGAGATGGAGAGAGAGATGGAGAGAGAGATGGAGAGAGGAGAGAGAGAGAGAGAGAGAGAGAGAGAGAGGAGAGAGAGATGGAGAGAGAGATGAGAGAGAGATGGAGAGAGAGATGGAGAGAGAGAGAGAGAGAGAGAGAGAGAGATAGAGAGAGAGAGAGAGAGAGAAGAGAGAGAGAGGAGAGAGAGAGAGAGAGAGAGAGAGAGAGAGAGAGAGAGAGAGAAGAGAGAGAGAGAGAGAGATAAGAGAGAGAGAGAGAGAGAGAGAGAGAGAGAGAGAGAAGAGAGAGAGAGAGAGAGAGAGAGAAGAGAGAGAGAGAGGAGAGAGAGAGAGAGAGAGAGAGAGAGAGAGAGGAGAGAAGAGAGAGAGAGAGAGAGAGGAGAGAGATAGGAGAGAGAGAGAGGAGAGAGAGGAGAGGAGAGAGAGAGAGAGAGAAGGAGAAGAGAGAGAGAGAGAAAGAGAGGGAGAGAGAAGAGAGAGAGAGAGAGAGAGAGAGAGAGAGAAGAGAGAGAGGAGAGAGAGAGAGAGAGAGAGAGAGAGAGAGAGAGAGAGAGAGAGAGAGAGAGCAGAGAGAGAGAGAGAGAGAGGAGAGAGAGATCGAGAGAGAGAGAGAGAGAGATGATGAGAGGAGTAGGAGAGGCGAGAGAGAGGGATGAGAGGAGGGAAGGGGGAAGAGAGAGAACGAGGGGGAGAGAGGGAGAGGAGAGAGGAGAAGAGGATCGAGACGAGAGAGAGAGAGAGCGGCGCAGCGTCGGCCCCGGGCGAGGTCGGTCCTGATCACCGGCTGCGTACCGCCTGCCCGATGAGCGCCGCCGCTGCCCGGGTCAGAGCGGGACGCGGCAGCTCCGCCCACCGCGAGCGGCGGTCTGATGGGCACCGGAGCCGACCGGAGCCGGCCAAAGGCGACCGGAGCCGACCGGAGCCGACCGGAGCCGCGGCCCGGCCGCCGGCGGACTCCCAAGCCGCGGCGACGGCCGCACCGCGCCGCCGGAATGTCATTGTTCCCATACAAGAGCCTCCCCATTCCCGGGCGAGTGGAAATTAGCGGGATCTAAAACGCCGGTGGAAATGTCCACGGAAAAGAGGCCGGTCGAGTCCACTGCCGCCCGAGGGGAGGGAGGTACGGGGACTGAACGAGGGCACGCTGGGACGGCGCATCGGTGGCGAGGCGCTCACCCTTCTCGAGGCAGAGGTTACCAGACTTCCGTCCTGTCCCATGACACGGATCGGCTCCCGATCAAGAGGCGCACAGCGAGCCCGGACTTCCCACCTCCACATCCGCGCGCCTGACCGCTACGTGATGACAGACAGCTCGCCATCAGCCGGCGCTTGAGTGTCGCAGTCAGTGTCACGGGGAAGGAAGCGCTGTCGGCCGGACACCGCCCGGCGCGCACACAGAGGACCGCGCCGGCCCGGCCGCCGCCAGTCATGAATAATGTATGCAGCGGCGCCGGAGCGGGGCCCGGCTGGGCTGGCCGACCCCAGGAATGTGGCCAGACGCGGCCCGACACGGGGACGCGCGCCGTGCCGCGCCGACACGTGTATGGACGCGACGACACGAACGCACACACCGCTCCGTGTGGACACGTGCACGCGCACCGGGCCCTGTGTGGGCGCAAGGTGTACGCGCGTGATCCGCGCACGCGCGCCGTCCTAGTGGACAGGTGAGCGTACACGGCCAGCCGAGGTCTGAGGGCCAAGGAGAACCTTGAGGCTGCAGACCCCTGAGGAGAATCCTGAGAACCCTGAAACTGGAGGACCCTGATGAGAGCCCTGAGATTGGAAAACCCTGCAAACCCCGAGGCGAGCCCTGAGACTAAAGAACCCTGAG